CCTGCCTAAAGGCAACAACGAGAAGGCAGGAAGAAACAGGAAAACTGGACAAATGGACACAGGGAACCCGGGGTGGAAAGAGGGAGAGTGCTGACACTGCAGGTATTGCAACCAATGCCACAGAAGAATCTGTGTATAAATTTTTGAATGAGAAACTAATTTCTGCTGTAAACTTTCACCTGAAGCACAATAAAATTTTTAAAAAATTTAAATAAAGTAATTGGGAATATATTTAGCCAAGGAGGTGCAAGTGTTGTATACTGAAAACTACAAAATATGGCTGAAGAAATTAAAGAGGATCTAAATAAACACACATCCTTGTTCATGGACTGGTAGGATTGGAATGCTTAATGTTAAGAGGCTAATACCTCCCCAGAGCAATCTACAGATTCAATGCAATCCCTATAAAAATCCCAACAGTTTTGTTGCAGAAATGGAAAAGCCAGTCCTCAAATTTATATGGAATTTCAAGGGATTCCAAATAGACAAAGCAATCCTGACAAAAAAGAACAAAGTTGGTGAACTCATACTTCCTGATTTCAAAACTTACTACAAAGCTACAATAATCAAAAACAGTGTGGTACGGGCATAAGGATAGACATGTAGATCAATGGAATAGAACTGAGAGACCAGAAATAAACCCATACATCTATGGTCAGCGATTTTCTTTTTTACCAATTTGTTGTTGTTGCTGTTGTTGCTTTGCTGAAAATATACACAGCAAGAGATTGGTCAGTTGATTTTAAATAAGGATGTCAATATCATTCAATGGGGAAAGAATAGTCTCTTCAACAAATAGTGCTGGGACAACTGGATATCCACATGCAAAAAAAAAGTTGGACCTTTCCCTTACCCCATGTACAAAAATTAAATAAAAAATTTAAATGAAAATAGATCTTACCTAAATCTAAGAGCTAAAACTATAAAACTCATAGAAGAATACACTGGTGTAAATCTCTTCATGACACTGGATTAGTCAGTGGTTTCTAGATATGACAACAAAACCATAAGCAACAAAAGAAAAAATGGATAAACTGGACTTCCTTAAAATTAAAAACCTGTGCATCAAAGGACATTATCATGAAAATGAAAAGACAACTTACAGCATGGTAGAAAATATTTGCAAATCATATATCTTAAAAACGTTTAGTATCCAGAATATATAAACAACTCTTACAACTCAACAACAAAAAGACAAACAACCCAATTAAAAAAAGGGCAAAGGACTTGAATAGACATTTCTCCAAAGAAGATATACAAATAGCCAACAAGCACATAAAAAGATGCTCAACATCATTAGTCATTAAAAACAAAAAAAAAGTTGCCATCAAGTCGATTCTGACTCATGGGGACCCCACGTGCGTCAGAGTAAAACTGTGCTCCATAGGATTGTCAACTCCAGCTGATTTCTTAGTAGATCACCAGGCCTTTCTTTCAAGCTGCCTCTGAGGACTCAAACCTCCAACCTTTCAATTGGCAACTGAGAGCTTAATGATTTGTGTCACCCAGAAACATTAGTCATTAGGGAAATGCAAATTAAAATTACAATGTGATATCAATTCACACCCACCAGAATGTTTAATATTAAAAAGACTTACACTACCAAATGTTGGTGAGGATATTCGTGGAAGAGTAAAATGGTACAACCACTTTGAGAAAGTTCTCATAAAACAAAACATACACCCATCCTATGATCCAGCAATTGTACTCCTAGGTATTTACTCAAGAAAAATTAAAATATATGTCCACAAAAAAGACTTATACAAGAATGTTTCTAGAAGCTTTATTGGTAATAACCCCAATCTAGAGCAAGTATCCCTCAGCAGAATGTACAAACTGTGATACAGCCATACAATGGAATGTTGTTAGTTGTTATTGTTGTTAGGCCATTGAGTTGGTTCTGACTCATAGCAACCCTATGTACAACAGAACAAAACACTGCCCGGTCCTGCACCATCCTCAAACTCATTGCTATGCTTGAGCCCATCGTTGCAGCCACTGTGTCAATCCATCTCGTTGAGGGTCTTCCTCTCTTTTGCTGATCCTCTACTTTACCAAGCATAATGTCCTTCTCCAGGGACTGATCCCTCCTGATAACATGTCCAAAGTACGTGAGATGAAGTCTCACCATCCTCGCCTCTAAGGAGCATTCTGGTTGTACTTCTTCCAAAAGGTATTGTTCGTTCTTCTGGCACCCCATGGTATATTCAGTATTCTTTGCCACCACCATAATTCAAACGCATCAATTCTTCTCTGGTCTTCTTTATTCACTGTATAGCTTTCACATGCATATGAGGTGATTGAAAATATCATGGCTTGGGTCAGGTGCACCTTAGTCCTCAAGGTGACATCTTTGCTTTTTAACACTTTCAAGAGGTCTTTTGCAGCAGATTTGCCAAATGCAATATGTTGTTTGATTTCTTGACTGCTGCTTCCATGGACATTGATTGTGGATCCAAGTAAAATGAAATCCCTGACAACTTCAATCTTTTCTCAGTTTATCATGATGTTGCTTATTGGTCCAGTTGTGAGGATTTTTGTTTTCTTTATGTTGAGGTGTAATCCATACTGAAGGCTGTAGTCTCTGACCTTCATCAGTAAGTGCTTCCAGTCCTCTTTGCTTTCAGCAAGCAAGGTTGTGTCATCTGCATATCGCAGGTTGTTAACGAGTCTTCCACCAATCCTGATGCCTCAATCTTCTTCATATAGTCCAGCTTCTCGGATTATTGGCTCAGCATACAGATTGAATAAGTATGGTGAAAGGATGCACACCCTTCTTGATTTTAAACCATGCAATATCCCCTCCCTTGCTCTGTCTGAAAGACTGCCTCTTGGTCTATGCACAGGTTCCTCATGAACACAATTAAGTGTTCTGGAATTCCCATTCTTCACAATGTTATCCATAATTTGTTATGATCCACAGAGTCAAATGCGTTTGCACAGTCAATAAAACACAGGTAAACATCTTTCTGGTAGTCTCTGCTTTCAGCCAAGATCCATCTGACATCACCAATGATGTCAATGGGATGTGACTCAGCATTAAAAAAGAATGAAGTACTGATGCAAGCAACAATGTAGATGAACGAATATGAAGAGAGAGAGAGAGAGAAGCTTTACAGAAAAGAGTGTATATTGTGCAATTCCATTTATATGAAGTTTTAGAACAGGCAAAACTAATCTAACAGAAAAGATCAGAACAGTCCTGTCCCTGGTGGGTAACAGAAGCGGGGACTGACTGGAAAGGGGCGTGAGGATCTCCCTGATGAGATGGTAATGTTCTCTATTTTAATAAAAGTTTAGGTTACACCAGTTGTCAAAATTCATCAAATAAAACACTTAAGATTTTTATATTTCACTGTATATAAACTTTATCTTTGAAAAAGTGAACAAATTAGTGGGACACCTTGGTCAATTGGCATAACACAGTTCATAAAGTTATGTTCTACATCCTAGTTTGCTGAGTAGTGTCTGAGGTCTTAAAAGCTTGCCAGGAGCCATCTAAGATATAACTATTGATCTCTCGTCACCCGGAGCAAAAGAGAAAGAAGGAAACCAAAGACTCAAAGAAGAAACTAGTCTACAGTTCTAACAGTCTACACAAACCACAACCTCATCTACCCTGAGACCAGAAGAACTACATGGTGTCAGCTACCACTAACGACTGTCCCAATCAAGGCCACAAAAGATGGACCCTGATAGACTGGGGGAAGAAAACATGGAAAAGAACCTCAAATTCCTTAAGATAAAAAAGACCTACTGGACTGGTTGAGACTGGAGGACTCCACGAGACTACCACCCTGAGATACTCTTCAAACCATGAACCGGAACTAACCCGAGATTCCAACACCTGCCATTTATATAAGCAACCTCAATGTCTGTGGATGATTCACCCAACACTCCAGCCTCACTGTACCTTGATCTCCTCTCCTCCAACAACCTCTGGCCACATATCATTAGTGTCTCAGGCCACCCATCACATGGAGCTGCTCCACTTCAGAAATCCTAAACTCCACTATCCCACTCTCTGGCTACAACCTCCTACCCCTATTACTTCTTGGCTCTCACAATACCCTGGTGACATAACAGTTAAGCACTCGCCTGCTAACTGAAAGGTTGGCAGTTTGAACCCACCTAGGACTCTGCAGGAGAAAGACCTGGTGATCTGTTTCTGTAAAGATTACAGCCAAGAAAACCCTATAGGGCAGTTCTACTCTGCCACATAGGGTCGCTATAAGTCAGAATCGACTTGATGACACTCAACAACATCCTCGTCAAGATCTCCTATCCTGGTACTGAGTTTCTGTTTGGGTTGTTGAAAAACTTTTGGAAATAGATAGTGGTGATGGTTACACAACAGGTGAATGTAATGAATGTCACCGAATTGTGCACTTAAAAATGGATAAAATAGCAAAATTGTTATATATATTTTACCATAATAAAATTTTTTTAAATCTTCCACTCTTTGACTTCTCCCTTTCTCCAGCCCATTACCCACTCATGACTTCACTCCCTATCCAGTCTAGACAAGTGGTGCATCACTTCAACCACTCTCCTGTTAGCAGTCTCACTGCTCTTAGTATTTTTAATCTTCCATTTATTGAGCAACTACTGTGTGCCACTCCACATGCATTATCTCTGCAACTCCCCACAACACCCATATGAGATAGCTATCACCATTATCCTCTTTTACAGATAAGGAAAAGGATTCTTAAAGAGGTGAAGTAACTTGTCCAAGGTCACATAGCTAGAAAGTAGTGGAGCAGTGTGGAGTTGATATCTCAGTGAGATCTGTCTGACTCCAAGGCCTGGGCTCAGAACCAGTAGATTACTTTGTTTCTCGGAGGGAAAGATAGCTCTGACTGCAACATGGAGAATGAAGGGGAAGAAGAAGCAGGTAAGCATGAAGGCTTGGATACCAAGACAGTAATCCAGCTGAGAGTTGATGGTGGACTGTTACCTCCCTGAACATCACAAAGAATTCAAAATAAAGCCCCACTTACTTCAGGTGTGTGACTTTGCAGGATGGATTCAGTGGGCTTGGGCTGGGGAGGGCACAGCTTAGGCGTGCCTAGAACAGACCAAAAATAAATCAGCAGTTTAATACATTGTTTCAGAATAAATTGTTTACTTTGCCTTCTCTGGAAATATACATATATATTCTATATACATTGCCATTTATTAAATGTTTCCCATGTGCTGAGAATTTTCTATAGTCTTGTTTACACTTCCAACAATGCTGTGAGCTACTATCTCCATTTTATAAACGAGGAAAGTGAGGCACAGGAAGATTAAGAAAAGTGCTCAAGGTCACACAGTTAATGGTAAAGATGAAATCAGAACCCAAGTCTGCTAGTCAACTTCTAACTACTGATATAACATAGTCCCAACCTTAGATTCATACTTCCCACACAACACACAAGCTGTTGAAACCCTTGCAGAAAAAAAAATAACCATGTGGATGAGACCACTACAAATCTATGTGCTCCAGTCTCAGCAAGGAGCTAACAAGCAAGATCTGAGATCAGCTCAGGGACGGACCCTGCACTCAAAGCACAGTGAGGGGGCTGTATACTGTTAAGGCAATGAGGCTCCCTTACGGTGATCTTACACAGGGAAGTGATCCAGTTTTATACACATCACTCTGAGGGCACCATCTCCCAGAGGAACAGTAAACCTAGCCTCAAAGCTACACCAAGCCAAGGACAAGCCTACAGAAAGATTAGGCAACAGCTCAGTCACCTGTTCCATTTCCCCTCTCACAGAATCAAGAGACACAATGACAAATATCAAAGTAACCGATTTGGTCCTCCCCTGGTGGCGCAGTGTTAAGAGCTAACCAAAAGGTCGGTAGTTCGACCTACCAGCCACTCTTTGGAAACCCCATGGGGCAGTTCTACTTTGTCCTATGGAGCCGACAGGAATCGGAATTGACTCGGCGGCAATGCCTTTTTTTTTTTTTTAAACCATAATCTGGGGTCCATGGGTGGCCATCCGTGGGTCCAAGAACCCTTTATGATTACAAGCAACCCCTGTGCCTTTTTTTTTTTTTAAAGGAGATGGTCACTAGTTTTCCTCAGATTTTCAAACAGGCCCACGTCCACCCTCCCGCCCCCCTTGGAAAAAAGGTTAAGAGGGCTTTAAGCTTCCTCAGCAAGAGATTCTCTGACATTTTTACCTCAGTCCCGCATACAGTGTCAGTCCCCAGCCTCCTCAGTCAGCATTCCCTTCCACCGCGCACGCACCACTCGCGCACGCACCACCCCACGCACGCACCACCCCACGCACGCACCACCCCACGCACGCACCACCCCACGCACGCACCACCCCACGCACGCATCACCCCACGCACACAAACACGCATCACCCCACGCACACGCACACAAAGTTCCTCGCACGCACCTCCACCCTCACTCCCCCAACATAGGCACTTTAAATCGCCACATGCATGCGTGCCCCGCAGGCACCTCCACACGTACACACACAAGCATTCCCATACACATGCGCCTCCTCACATACACACCTTTATACACCCCTCCACACCCACACATCCCCCTTCACCACACGCACCAACCCATGTACACCCGCACGCACGCACGCACACACACCCTCGCCACACACCCTCCAGAGCCTTTTCCCTTTCTCTAAGGACGGCGTCTCAGCCGGCGGTCCAGGCCCTCCCCCGCCCCCCTGCTTCTCAGCAGTGAGGTCCCTCTCCTGCGCGCTGAGCCCACCCCGCCCGAGCCCACCGCAGCCCCACAGGCCCTTCTGACTCGGCCGCTGCTTTCCTCCTCACATCCCAGGAGACACCGGGCGGGGTGTGGCGCCTCTCTGCTCGGCCACCAGGGCCTTCAGATGAGAGGGAAGCTAGCCGCTCAGACTGAAGGAACTTCCTCGATTTCCTGTCCCTCCGAATGGGGGCGGGGAGGGCGTTTCTCATCCTTGCTGGGGAAACACTCACCTGGTTCCTAAAGCCGGTTTGCTCTTCCTGTACTTCCTGCCAGCGGGAAAGGGATTGTGAGAGAGAGCCAAGGTCTTTGGGGCGGAGAAGGGGAAATGACTCAGAGAGGAGGCGGCCCAGAGGGAGGGGCCGGGCTGGAAAGGGGGGCAGTGGGGGGCGGGAGGGAAAATGAGGGTGGCAAAACCGCGGTGGTGGCAGTTTTGAGGGTGTCTAGTACAGACCTAGAAATCCTCCTGGCCAAGCCCCCACTCCAGGAGCTGCTGGGCTAGGTCATTTCTTCCGTGCTGGGCTTTGAGCTCGTTTATCCCGCTCCAAAGGTAGCCCTAGCTAAGACCCTTGCTTAGCAGTTCACCAGGCTCCAAGGAATCTGCTGGTCTGGCCACAGTTGCAGGGATTAACTCTTCATGTTCTGTGGAGCCAATAATAGTCTTTACGTCATAGGGTTGCTGGGAAGGTTAAATGAATAACTGCATTTCACGTGCATTATTAGCATAGTGTCAGGCACGCTGTAAGCAATCAATCAGTGATAACACCTGTTATTATGGATGTGTTCGTTTGTTGACTGCCTGTCTCCCCTCTAAATTATGAGTCCCATGAGGGCAGAGACTAGTATCTAATTCATAACTGAACAGTAGCACCTGATACAAAGAAACTATCAAATTACTTGTTGAATGAATGATTGAATGATAACTTGGACTAGTGGCTATACCAAGACTCTCTCCTCTGCCATATAAGGGGTGCTTTTGTGGGAGTTTTAGAAAGGTCACGAATGTGGAAAATGGCCGACAAGACCCTTGTTGGTTGCTTTATCAAGTAACTTGCTCTGCCCTTGGAAAATGGAATGTCTTTGGCAATCCCTACATGGACACATGGAATACTGTGAGACAGCTGACCTGAAATTTGAAACAGAGACATGGATGACTAGACATGGATGCATCTTGAACAGTTAGTGAGAGAGCTCTGGTGGCACAGTGGTTAACAGCTTGGGTGCTAACTGAAAGGTTGACGATCGATCGGAACCCACCAGCCGCTCCAAGGGAGAAAAGACCTGACGATGAGTCAGAATTGGCTTGACATCACAGAACAACACAGTGAGTAAAGCAGGATACAGGGAGAGGGCTGAAGTGGAAAGCTCAAAAATAATGGTGACAACTATAAGTGGAGAGGATTGGCAGGGGAGTTCTGAGTGAAGCTAATAAGAAGTATGTATGGTTGCAGATACCAAAAAAGCCAAACCCGTTGCTGTCGAGTCGATTTCGACTCATCTAAAAAGGAAATTTGATGGTGGCCCTAAAGTAAAATTAATGCCATCCACCTCTCTGTTCTAGTCATAGGATTCCTGATGGTCTACTCTGATATCCAGCACTCTTGAGGTAGGTATGCAGACTTCTACCACTACCTTCACTAAATTTGCATTTATGGAAATACATACTGTCAGGGCTAGAAGGGACCTTTGAAATTACCATACACTTAAATTCGTAGTTGAAAAACTAAGAGCCTGAGGTACAAAAGGACTTGGGCCTTGGAATCCTCTGGCCTTGGTACTGAATCTTGCAGGGCCTGAACTGGTGGTTGGGTATTCCATTATTCCCTTAATCCCTGCCCTTCCCCTAACTTCAAAGAGACTGAGAAGAATGAAAGGGCAGGGCAGAAGGGAGAGGGAGAGAAGATTCCTCAACAGACCCTGACTGACTTCACTTCCTTTTGCTTCCTCCAGGGGAAGGTACCTGGGCCCTCAGCTAGATGCTGTAGAGAACACTCCACCATGGCACCCTAGAGACTGCACTATCCACAAAGAGCATGCAGGCAAAGGTTTGAATGACAGCTAATCTGAGTCTTGACAGTATTTACATTGTATTAGATATTATAAGCAATCTAGAGATGATTTAAAGTATATGGGAGGCTGTGCATAGGTTATATGCAAGTACTACACCATTTTATATAAGGGACTTGAGCATCCTCGGATTTTGGATTCTGTGGGGGTCCTGGAACCAATCCTCCCCCATACTAAGGGACAACTGCCCCATAGGGTTTCCAAGGCTACACATCTTTCTCCTGAGGAGCAGCTGGTGGGTTCAAACCTTCAGCCTCTCGGTTAGCAGCCGAGTGCTTAACCACTGTGCCACCAGGGTTCCTCTCATTCTACTTATCAGGGTCTAATTCTATTCAACCAGTATCTGAGTGTTATGGATTGAATTAGATCCCCCAAAAATATGTATTGTAAATCTTAACCTCTATGCCTGTGGTTATAATCCCATTTGGGAAAGGGTTCTTTGTTATGTTAATGGAGCAGGATGAGTGTAGGGTGTGTCTTGAGTCAATCTCTTTTGAGATATGAGATTAAACAAGCGAGCAGAGGAGAGATGGGGTAATGGTAAGATAGATGCAAAGACACATGGAGATCTCCAAGGAACCAGGAAGCAGAAGCTGAAGAGACAAAGGCCTTCCTCCAGAGCCAACAAAGAGAGAAAGCCTTCCCCTAGAGCCGGCACTTCTAGCCAGCACTTCTACCCCTGGGTCTCTAGTAAAGACTTCCTTTTCAGCTATCATTGGTAGCTCATTCAGTTCGTGGTTCTAAAACTATTTGGGAAGAATTGTTAAATTGGGTACCCTACTAGATTATAATCTCCTGGTGGCACAGTGGTTAAGCGTTTGTCTGCTAACCAAAAGGTGGGCAGTTCGAATCCACCAGCCACTTATTGAAAACCTTATAGAGCAGTTCTACTCTGTCCTAGAGGGTCACTATGAGTCGAAATCAACTCGACGACAATGGGTTTGGATTTTTTTCCCTAGATTATAAACGTTAGGAATACTTTTTTTTTATCTTAGTATCCCCCACATAAATAAGAGTACTCAGAACATGATGAGTGATAAATAAATGCTTAATGAATGACCAAGCCAGAACAGTAACAATTATAATTTGTATATTGTGTCCAACAATTATAGGCAGATCACATTGATTTCCCACTCCTAGAAATTCACTGGGGAGGGAGGTCATTCTCATGAGCTATCATGCTGTATACATTTCCACAATCTGTGTAATAACCTACTTGGCCCCTGTTATTCCTAACCTTTGTTAGTGAGACCACTTCTCACTCACCAATAGGCTCAGCTTCCTGGAGACTCTGGGACTAATCCTGTTCCTAGGTAAGGGAACATAAAGAACCCTATGTCTGCTCTACCCTGACACATTAAATGGAGCTGGCTACCCAGATACCACATCCAAAACAAACATGTAAAATCTTAGTTGTGAGTGATAGCCTCCATATTCATTTGCGCAGGCTACTCTCCAATTAGTCTACTAATCCGTTGCCGTTGAGTTGATTCCAACTCATAGCGACCCTATAGGACAGAGTAAAACTGCTCCATAGGGCTTCCAAGGAGTGGCTAGTGGAGTTAAACTGCCAACCTTTTGGTTACCAGCCAAATTCTTAACCACTGCACCGCCAGGGCTCCATTAGTCCACTAAACCCCTGATCTTCCAAATTCTTGTCTCCTTTATGTCTTAATCCCTTTGCCTTTGGGCTATATAGGTCCTATAGGCCCTTGGTCTGACAGGTTGTTTCAAGTCACTTCTCTAGGTGTCACCCTTGACCTGCTGTTCTTCACTTCATTCCCTCTTTAGTTTCAGTACAATCACAAACAACTCCAGCCCTGAGAAATCTCCTAACCTTCCAAGATCCTCCTACAGGCCAGGTATTTAACAAGTCAACTTATTTGCTTTCAGTCCTACCCTGACCTTAACCAATGGGTTCCAACAATGGGATTTTGTTTGTTCTTATTCCCAATGTGTGAAATTGAACATGTCGTGTTTCCTTGGGTCTTATAACTTCATTTCTTTAGTCTTCTTTATTGTATCCAGCCCTTGAAACCAAAGCCTTCATGACTGAATCTCAATTTCCAGACCTCCTGGACAGTCTCTGTTCAGATTTTTACTTATTAGGTGATTATTGATTTTCCCCAAGTCACTTTCCCAATTCCAGTAACTCATGGTTGTCTTCCTTTTAATCCTCCCCCAATTACATTCAAGTGAGAGACAATCAAGAACTCATGAATACATATATATTTATTTAATTCATAATATAGCATTTTGAATGGGCTGGGCTATTTTAGAGAGGAGTGAGACTGTGTAATCTGCATATGCTCAGATTTCTGTCACTAGGAGAATCCAGAACTCCCAGTACAAACAAGGGGTAAAGCATTTGATAAAAAATAGTCCAACAATAGTCAAATAAATCCAGCCAATAACAATACAGCATATGTCTGAAGCTGGCAGACCAGACCATAAGACAGTTTTACCTGACCTGATGGCAGTCGATCTGGACAACCTGTAACTCCGTGGCCAAATACAGCCCAGTGGCTCAGAGGCTGCAAATTGGCTTCAGGAGCTAGAAATAAGTGTGGGAGTGGTTCTTATATATTCTTATATACATGCCTCACATTCACCCATTCCTTGTAGGAGAGGGTATCAAATATTTGAGCTTATCAAAAAATCCATCCATGGATTGATCCATCCAGGTAGATTTTATATATATACAAATGGAATTTTTAAAAAATTCCCTAGTGTGTTTTAGTTGAAAAGAAAATATAACTGATTTTGCTGCAATCTGAATTTCACTGCATCCAAAATTACACAATGGAATTACACGATAACACATCCAGATGCAGTAACTCTTACTTACAAGTAGTCAGAACCCCAGTGTAGCATTAAAATTTCTTTCATAGTCTCAAAACAAGTTTAATTATTTTTTGTTATTTTTGTGCTTTCTTCAATAAGACAATATAAAAAGGTGGAAATAAGCATAAATTGCAGATGAAAACAATGATTTGCTAGGAGAAAGTTTGTAGGGTAATGGACTGAGTAGAGCAACAACAAAAAATATTTATCAAGTGACATTCCCTGAAGATGTTAAATACAGGCCCTATTCTCTTTGTCCAACTGGGTTTAGCAAGAAGTAGTCAACGACTTCTTTTAAGGTCCTTGGCATTGCTAGGATTCTTTGAAAGTCTTATATTTACTGAAGTATATATCTAGGACTCACTGCACCCCCACTGAGTACTTTGCCATCATGTTGTATCTTGGAAAGCACTTTTCATTATTTGGCTCAATAGCTGGGACTTTAGAGTCAAACTTCATTGTTTACCCCAAATCCAGTTTAATTTCCCACTTTAATAGGCTTTGCTCTGAATGATTTTGGGCTATAACCAAAACTTAAATCTACCTTCAAAGACAAAATTTGAAAAGTTATTGAAAAGAATGGTGCCACGTGCTCCAAAGACAAATCCTCAAGATAACTTCCAAAGAAGTTTTGAGGGAGGCAATGGTCATTTATATGTATGAGCACTGGTATATCCGTGAAATAATCTTAATGCAGACCAAATGAAGGGGTAACCAAGCTTTTCTACCCAGGAAACAACAAAGACCAGCATGGACATCAGAGTACAAGAGGGAGCCTTGATCATTCATTCATTCATTCAATAAACATTAGCCAGGAAACTACTCTGTTACAGACATTATGCCAGGTGTTAAAAATACAGCAATAATAATAAAACACGCAGTCCTTGCCCTCAAGGTATTCACAGTCCAATAGGGAAAATGATTAATACACATTAAACTTCTGTGTGCCTCAGAATCACTTGGGGAGCTTGTTAAAAATGTAAATTCCCAGATACTCTAAGTTAATTAGGCCAAGGAAGGGTCTAGGAATCTGTTGTTTTAACAAACACCAAAGCTGATTCTAATGCAGGTGGGTCTATGGACCACACTTTGAAAAATGCTGCTATACAGTGCAGTTATTACTGAGATAAGGGGATGCTCAGGGTGCCACATAACCCAGTTTAGGGAGTCAGGAGTTAGCCTGGTTGAGAGGGGTGGGGGTAGGAAAAGGTAGTCCAGGCCAGAGTTCAAAAGTAGGGTGGGGGAAATTGGAGCTTTGCCCCAGGGAACTAAAGTCTAAAGGGTACAAAAATAGATGGGTGTGGGAGGTCTAAGGACAAGGGAAAGGAAATTGGACTAGGATGTGGGTGGAGTGATTTGTACTTACAGCATTTTCATACTATTCCCTTAATTTAAGGACAATTCCTACTGTCTACCCTAGATGTCAAAAATTTTAATAATATCTTTGATCTAGGACCAGAAAACAACCTGTATAAATAGTTGAGCAGGCCTAGAGTAACCAGTGTGAAAGGGAAAGTAGCATAAGATGAAGCTGGGAAAGCAAGTAGGATCTTGAAAAGCCAAATGCTAGGGAGTTGCTATCTTCTACTTAAAGTTATAGAAGGCAGTGAATGGTTTTATGAAAGGGGAAGCCTCGTTAGTTTTGTTTAAGAATTATTATATAGGCCCTAGGGGAGAAACCAGGGTAACTTAGAAATGAAGGACACACATTTTAAAGCACGACTACACTGTATTGGGGCTGGGGGGAGAGGGGATTAACATGTATTGCACATTTACCAAGTGCCAAGTGCTGTGCTAGGCAGTTTAAATATGCTGTCTTTTTAAATCTTTGCAACAACCTTGTGAGGTAGGTATTATTTTACAGAAGAGGAAACTGGGGCTTGGGAAGTGAAATGACTTGCCCTAGGCCACACCACTAGTAAATGGCAGAGAAACTCTGATTGTTTTAGTCCAAAGGCAGTGAGTTTTCCATTACAGTAAACTACTTACCAGCAATGCTGAATCTTATCATGGTTGTTAATTTACTGATTAGCAGTAACTACATATGGTCTTTAAAACCAAAAAGCTTGCCTTGCCACTAGATGTGTAAGTTTGAGCTAGTCTTCTGTATCTACATCATTCTTGCTTTCTATGTTTGGGAAATAAATATTGGTAATAATAACTGTTATTTTGGGGATTTACATTTAGATACTTTTTCTCTTCTACAGAATAGTACCATGTACACTCCTACAGAAGTAGGGTGGTCCTTGGCATATAGTAGTTTGTTGAATGAATTAATAAATGAAGGTTCACCCACCTGGTGGAAGTGAAGAGGGGAGAAGTTTTGATATTGTTTTTCAAAGCGTCAATCTGAGGAGTTGTTACAGCTACCACTTTATAATTTTATAACAGTAATATTTTCACAGTTCCCAAAGAGTAGACTCAATGAAGCAGATTTAGCGCCTGGAAAGGAGAAAGCTCTGGGGTTCTCTGACATCCTCAGTCCCTGAAATGGAACTGGCAAAAGCCCACACAAGACAGTTCAATTCACTTCAACTACACTGGTGAGGACTGGGACGAAATTTACCTCTGCATTTGTCGGGAAGAGTTGGCTAAGCCAATGAATAGTATAAACAAGACTGCAAGAGGAATGATTATTTAATCTACTTAAGAAAACAAATCGTTTTCAGGCATTCTTAAGCACTTCAGAAGTGTTTTATCAGAAAACATGAACACATTTATATGCAAATAGTTGTTGCATATATAGTACTCCATTCTTACTGACTGATTAAAGCAGGTTCCTAAAGAAACTCCATTAGGTAACTTTTTTTTAAGCTGAATTCTAGTAACTGTATATATTCAAGAGTAATATAACAGGTTTTATTTAAAATATTCTGTGACAGAATTTTCAACAGTTCAGACTGGCCTTCTCCATTAAGTAGCATCATCAATGAAATTTTACTACGTACAACACTTCTACCTGGATCAATTTTCCATCTAGTAATAGCACCTCTTGTGCAGTATTGCCCCCAAAATCTTTTCTAATCCTACCTAGAGCTCTTCCCATTACCTATGTCATGATTGTATGTGTTACGTGTGTAAGACAGGAGGGAGGAAGGGATGGACGGTTGAAGGAAAATGAGAGATGTTGATTGATTTTGTTGTTCTCTTTAGGAGACAAAAATGGATGGTTTATTTTCCCTTTTAGAATGTTTCTCACTCAAATAAGCAAATTAAAATGTTTATTTTGTATATATAATATATAAAATGAATATATCATATATATTATTTATTTACCATATATTATATATACACATACATGTTTTCATTATAATAGACCCTTGATTGTAGGTTTTTATCAAAAGCTATATATAACATGTGATAATTTGACACTGTTCAAAATTCTGCTTGGCCAAATTGCCAGTACTAAAAAACCTGACCTCCCTCCCACCTACCCCCAGCTGGCTAGCCCCTTGCTCAGAACACCTTCCTATGTTTTTTACCTAGAATTATCCTAATTCCTTCCAATATATCATTTATACTCCTAAATCACTGGGAATTTTTAATTCTCCAATGACAAGAGGTGTTCCCTAAACTTCCCCAGTGGCTTGAAACCAGACTATGCAGATAATTTATTCTGAGAAACTCAATACATTAATTCAAATACAAGCTTTAATGCACAAAAATTAAATCTATAATATCTAGTTATTTTGGATGCTTCAAACAAACTTTATTTTGTATCGCATATATTGAACACTAACTGAGGTTTAGGACAGAAAAAATTGCTGAACTGGAGAGCCAGTGAATTATATGCTCTCTTGAAACTTAATGGCAAGCTTTCATCCCAGCAACATAGGGGGATTCTTGAGGCCTGCAGTTACATTCCTGCCGCTCAGGGTAATCAATAAAATCTGGGGCAGGCAAGCCAGACAGGATCATTAGGGATTTGTTCCAGATTGTGAATGTTGGACAAACTGGAAGAATGAAGGTCACATCAAAAGTATGGAGATGAAGAGAATTAGCTGGGTCATAGAAGGACAGCATGTTGTTGTCATAATCCAGGAGGACACCCAGACGCTTCAACTGTGGGGGAACATCCACGAGCATCTCCTTGTTGTTATGTCTCACCACAAAGTTACTATTGCAGCGAGAGAAGACCCATGAGGAGGCATTCTTGCCAATCCATTCATTCTTTGGAGCTGATTTGTAGGCAATACCAATAGCATACCTGTGAGACAGTGGAAAGAAGATAGAAATAAACATTAATTAATGATTTGAGTTCTGCCAGACACCATACAGGATGTACAAAACATAGAATACATGTTTGTTCCTTAAATAGTTTACATTTAGATGCATAATGTTGATATCATCACTAGAGCTTTTAAAAGTTACCAATTAAAGTGATGCAGTGAGTCCCAACTCCTAGCCCAGTATATTTTCCATCATATTATAAAGAAGCTGTTAAATTTTTCCAGGAGTGTTTTTTTTTTTTAAATCACATACCTTTTAACCTTGACTTATAGTTATTATAGTTGTACTATAGAATTGAATCTCCCAGGACCTAACAACAGGGGAGGGAAGAGAAGAGAAAAGTAGGATCCACTCACCATGTTGAGGAGCCCATGACCACCTCCCAATAGTGGCAGCCACTGTCAATGAATACATTTCCTGCTGCCCCATAGCACCCTGTGCCACTAAACCTCTCTGGGGTATGGCTCTTCTTCAGAGAGCTCTCATCCTTTTCCATCTGCAGTCCGTCATTAGAGATCTTCAACTTCTTGTGAGTCATTTTTGGGTCCAGTTTAAAGGGTTGGCCTGAAAAAAGTAGAAAAAAGAAAGAGCACAATGAAGTATTTAAGAATTCTACCTTTGTCCTCCAGGAGCATCACTACCAGGGGAATCTCGATATGATGGTCATTCTTGGGCCAGTGCAGTTTGGCTGCTGTTTATATTAATGAAGCAGGCCAGAAACCCCAGTTTTTAATAAAATAAGAATAGAGGTTAAACACCTGACCTACAGATTTGGGGACACAAGACTGCAGGAATTTCCAGCCTGGCATCTGACCTACCGACTTTGGACTTGCCAGACCTCAACAATTGTGTAACCTAATTCCTCAAAATCAATCAATCTCTCTCCCTCTCCACACACACACACACGCACGCACGCACGCACGCACGCACGCACACACACCTTACTGGTTCTGTTTCTCTAGAGAACCCTGACTAAGACAGGTGTTACAATGTTTGAGGTAAGACAAAGTAAGGAGAATTGATGAACAATTGCTGCTTGGTGACAGAACAAAAAAGCTGAGAGGAACTCAGCAATAGACAAGTTTTGCCCTCTTACGATTGGGATATAAAAAACATATGATTAGGTAACTTTGTTAGAGTGACTGTTACATCATTAATGATCAGAGAAAACATTTGTGTAGGCTCATTCACAGCAGAGAATTCCTTATAACCATATGACAAAAGCTTGTTACTGAGGGTCAATTGCTTGGTATGGCAATAGCTTTACTATACAAAAAGCTTCTGTTAGCAGACACTTGTTGGCTAACACAACACCCATTCCCAACTTTTTCTCTCTTACCTGCTTTCACGAGAGAGGCTGGAAAAGCTAAATACTCAAACTCCCAGCCTCCTTTGCCACTGTTGTTCGTTGCTGTCCAGTCGATTCCCACTCATGGCGACCCCTTGTGTGCAGACTAGAACTGCTCCACAGGGTTTTCAAGGCTGTGACCTCTCGGAAGCAGATTGCCAGGCCTACCTTCCAAGGTGCCTCTGAGTGGGTTCAGACTGCCAGCCTTTGGTTAACAGTCAAGTGCATAAATGTTGCACCACCCTTGCTGCTAGAGGAGCCCTGGTGGCACACCATGGGTGGTTAATTAGATGGAAATAGAAGTCAGATGGGGTGGAGTAAACTTCTGAGAAGTTCCTGTTTTCCAGATAAAAAGGACAGCTATCATGCGTGAAGCTATCATGTGGTGACACAATGGTTAAGCACTTAGCTGGAACCAAAAGGTCAGCGGTTCAAACCCACCAGCTGCACTCTGTGGGAGGAAAGACCTGGTGATCTGCTCCTGTAAGGATCACAGCCTGGAAAACCCTAAGGGGCAGTTTTACCCTGTCATAGATGGTCTCTATGAGTCAGAATCAACTTGATGGCACACAACAGCAATAACATCACGGGTACCAATCATTTCCCCATTGTTTCTATCTTGAAAGGAAATAGGACAGCTAGAGATTTTAAGTCATCTTGCAACCACATGGTAATAAGCCAATACACAGAGAGAAGGAGCCTAGGTCTTTTACGACATCACTGAGCTGCTGCACCAGCACTGAACTACTTACCGCCAAACTTCCCACTATGTGACAGAGAAAAAAAAAATACTATTTGTTTAAGCTCCTGTTAGTTGGATTTTCTGTTACTTGCGGTCAAAAGCATTCCTAATTGATACAGCTTCTCTGCAGCAGAGTTTTATCAGATTATCACAAAAAATGCTCTTTTAATCAATTGTCCTCTAAATATGGGTGCCAGGTGGGGGGTATGTCATCCCAAGCTATCATAGCTACTGTATGTATATGTCTGTGTTCACAAATCTTCCAGGGCCACCAACAAACCCCTGGCCCAAAGCACAAACTACAACAGTAAAGCTCCTTTACCCAGTGTCACTGCTAGCTTGCATGGTTGTAGGTGCCTGTTCAGGCTAAGTGTACTCGCTGGCATGGAGGGGAAAACTGATCTTTCTTTTGATTTTATTTTGTTGTACTTTAGAAGAAGGCTTACAGAACGAACTAGCTTCTCATTAAACAATTAGTACACATATTGTTTTGTGATATTGGTTACCAACTGCATGACATGTCAACATTCTCCCTTCTCAAACTTGGGTTCCCTATTACCAGCTTTCCTGTCCCCTCCTGCCTTCTAGTCCTTGTCCCTGGACTGTTGTGCCCCATTAGTCTCGTTTTGTTTTATGGGGCTGTCTAATCTTTGGCTGAAGGATGAACCTCAGGAGTGACTTCATTACTGAGCTAAAAGGGTGTCCGGGGGCTATACTCTCGAGGTTTCTCCAGTCTGTGTCAGGCCAGTAAGTCTGGTCTTTTTTTGTGAGTTAGAATTTTGCTCTACATTTTTCTCCAGCTCTGTCCGGGACCCAGATCTTTCTTTTTAGAATCGTCACGACATACTGTTTGTTTTTAGTCGGGTAGGTTCACTGTTCCGGCTGCCTGCTTGGTTTATGGCTTTAACAATGAAGATGTAGCGTGTCCCACTCTGGAGTCCATGTACTGTGTAATGGTTCTGTTTAATGTTGGGCACGATCATCCAGCTATCCACTGAATTATACAGACCTGTAAAGTGGGAAAAGACAAGGACATTAACCAGCAGGTAATAGAGATGGAATGAATAGCACACTCAAAATTCATCATAAGCCCAAAAACAGATGTGAATTTAATTTCTTTTCTTTTGAGTCCTAGGAGACAAAATGAGATCAACCTTCCCTGTTTCTTTTTCCCTCCCAGGAAGCTAAGCTTATGCCAGGCTCCTCACTTCTGGCAACTGAATGCAACCACTAGCAAAAGTTAGATTACTTTAATTTTCTGCCAAGTATCAGAGGAATGGCCTATAAAAATCACGGAATAATCACTTTTATGGAGTTTCTGGGTCTGTTCCCCAAATGTCCAATCCTCTGAGAGCTGAGTTTGGCCTTGTATGGATGGAGCAGTCCTATGCAGAGCACAAAAACATAAAATCTCAGAGCTGGAAGGACACCTAAAGATCATATAGCCCATTTCCCTCATTTTACAAGTGGGAAACTAAGATCGAGAGACGAAACATGACTTGCCTAAGACCACAGATAGCTGGGGATGGTGCTGAGAGTATAACTCTAATGTCTTTAATCCTCATCCAGCATTCTCTCCACTGCATCACAATTCATGCGGGTGAACAAAAATGTTCCTTTGTCTCTGCAAGGTAGTGAGGCTTTCAGGCCTTATGATTCAACTCTCCCACCACATCCTCACCCTTACTTCCAAAACTACCTAGGCTCCAAGGTATAATAGGGAAGCCAAGGAGATGACATGATAACCAAGGCAAGGTGTCATCTCTTCACTGACACTACTCATTTTTACCCCTTCCTGGTTTTGATCCCCATGCTTATTTGGGGTTGGGTGGTCACCCTGGAATACATTGTTTTCTAGAACCTTTTTCCTCCCAAGTAGGGAAAGGATCAGATATCTGGGTTTCTATTTTTGAAAGTCTTTAGACCATAAACATTGACTTATACAAGGAAAAATGTACATAATTAAAAACATGTATTTGACTAATTTTCAGTATAAGAGCGAAAAACATTCTAGTCTGTGAGTTATCCAGGCTTCTTCTCTCTTCTGTTGTCTGTTTTTCAGTCAGTTTACAGCTTTTTTAACCACAATTCTACCAGAGATGGAAAGGAAAGGGCACGCAAAATGATCAGTGAATTTAGTCACTTTTATGCAGCTCTAGTAAAAAGTTAGGTGAGCTTGAACATTGAAAATAATAAGCCATGAATGTTTTGCAAGAGAACAGATCAAGATGATTTTATAATTAATTTGTGGGGGAGATAGAGAAAGTTTAAATTAAAACTAGAAAAAGAAGCATAATGGAGGGCAGACAGATATGCTATCGACAGAAGAAGAATTGGCAAAGATGCCTAGTGATTCCTATGAAAAGAAAAGGGCCAGAAACAATGCTTAAGGCCTTGGCTGTCTATGTATCAATGCATAGTATGGATCACAAACTGCACATGAAGTTTTATTACAAAGAAGAAAATGATCTTCCACATACACTTCCAACTATACAAAAATCAAAACAAAACCTCACAATGAAGTACTATGCAGCTGTAAAAAATAAAGAAGATGTCTATGAACGGATATGGAGTGATTTCCAAAATATATTGTTAATTGAAAAAGGCAAATAGCAAAAGAGCATATAGTATTCTACCCTTTTTGTAAGAAAGAAAGGCCAATAAGAAAACTTACATGTATTTGTATTTGCAAAACAACAACAACGATAAACCAGAAAATAATGATGTTGGTTACCTACAAGGGGTGGGGATGAAGGAACAGGGTTAAAATATGAAAGGGAATGGCACTTCTCTGAGTATCCCTTTTTGGTATAGTTTTGCCTTTTGGAAACACGTTGTTCTACAAATTTAAAAAATCAAAATTAAATCGACAAGGATGGAAATGGAGGCAGAGACTAGAACTAAGGTAAACTGAAACAAATGAACCCAACTGCATTTCAAATGAATAACATAACCACACCAAAGAGCTGGGAGTGGGAAGAGAACTGAAAACAAATCCTGAACTATTGCTAATAGGTTTGTTTTTGTAGTGGTATAGGAAAAGCAATTCTTAAACTATTTTAGATATATTATGAGATTGAGAAAATGAATACATGTGTTGATATTGTTGGGAACCAGAGTTCTCATTGTGGTATAAGCCAAAAAAAAAAAAAAAAAAAAAAACCAAATCTGTTGCCATCAAGTCGATTCCGATTCATAGCAACCCTACAGACCCTACAGGACAGAGCAGAACTGCCCCATAGGGTTTCCAAGGAGCAGCTGGTGGATTCAAACTGCCCACCGTTTGGTTAGCAGCCAGAGCTCTTAACCACTATGCCACCAGGGTTCCACTGTGGTATAAGAGACATGTAAATATGGAATGGGGGAAGGCAAGAAAGAACCTATGGGGATGAATTGGTATTGGAGGTACTGGAGTGAACTCATGATTTTTGGAGCCCTCGTGGCGCAGTGGTTAAGAGCTACAGTGAGCTAAATATGTATATATGTACACATAAGTATGTATCTATGTATATTATGTGTCTGTGCATGCATATACATATGTGAATGCAGGTATGTCTATCTCTTACCCAGATCTTTGTCTCTAATTCCATTCTCCCGTGAAAAAGAAACAGAGCTCCTTGGAAAAATGCCTGGTTTCAAGGCTGGGGCAGGGTAAGGTCAAGATAAGCCCAGAACATTTTGTTATTCCCAGAAAGTAAGGAAGTGCTCAAAAATATTATGGGGCAATATCAGAAGGTCACAGGGCTCCTTTAAAAAGTCATCTATATGCGACCAAATGGTCAACAATTACTTTAAAACAAAGGACACTGTAAGGGGGCAGGGAAACTAAATCAGTGGAAACAGAACAACCAGAACAGAAAAATTGAGAATGTTCGCGTATTGTGAACAATGTAACCAATGTCACTGGACAATTTGTGTAGAAATTGTTGACTAGTTTCCTAACCTGCTGTGTAAACCTTCACTGAAAACACAACAAAATATTATTTTAAAAAAAGGTGGGGGGGCACAGAGGTCAGCTGAAAAGGTTCCCACTGGCCAAACTTGGATGATTTCAGCACCAAAATAAACAAGGGCAGTAAAGAATTGTAAACCATGGGAAAAAAGGGAATTCACAAGTCCATACTGAAAATACATAGATAAATAAATAAGCAAATGGGGAAAAAGGGAGGGCTCTTGCTTACTGCCAACTTGTAATGTGGGAGAGGATACTCAGTTCGAAAATCATCATTTTGCAACAATCATAATAAAGACTGGATCAGGAAAGAATTCTCAATTGATGCTAAAATGGGGGTAGGAGTGGAGTGGATTGATGAGAGGTAGAGTATTTTTATGGTCTTAAAGTAACACCCCATAGAATGCTTATTAGTTGCAAAGGAAAATATAGTAACTACACAGTGAAGAAATCAGACAGTAACTTGAGCAGGTGATCAAAATTAGCATCACCAATGACAGTCAAATAGATATCATGATGCCCTAAGAAGGACACAACATCACTTACGTAGTATTCCGACCATGACTAATCATAAGGAAACATCAAACAAACTCAAAATGAGGGATAATATAATAAAGCAATAAAAGGGAACTTTAAAAAATGTCATTGTCACTAAAGACAAAGAAAGGCTGAGAAAATATTTCAGATTAAAGGAATACCTGTTCTTAGACTATAAAGGACATTATCGGGTCCTTTATATGCTATAATGAACATTACTGGCCAATTATTAAAATTGGAATATCAACGGATGAATGGTAGATTACAAAAAAAGTACTGCATCAATGTTAAATTTCCCAAAGTTGATTAACTGGACAGTTGTTTATGTAAGAAAATTTCCTTATTCTTAGGAAAGATGCATCAAAGTATTTAGGAGTGAAGGCCATGATGTATGCAATTTACTCTCAAATGGGTTAGAAAAAAATATACGTATATATAGAGAGAATGCTAGCAAGTGATAAAGGAAATGGGGCAAAATATTAACAATAGTTGAATCTGGGTAAAGGCTATCTGGACATTCTTTGTGTTAGTCTTGCAACTTTTCTGTAATTTTGAAAATATTTCTAAGTTTAAAAAAGGGGGGATGTAAATATATGATCCTCTGCATATCACTGAGACTTGCTGAGATAGGATTGATGACTGAATTACAGTAATGGAAGTATACATCTTGTTAAAAGGGGAAAGACCACAAAATGGGAATCCATGAACCTGAGTGTAAATGTGTGGTGGAGAACATTTACATGAGAATAAAAAGGAGGGGAAATAAAAGCTACATCTTTGTGGCAGTATTATTACAGGCTGCCTTGCCAGACAGAGGTTATGGCCAATGCTTTTGTAACACAAATCACAAAATTGAAACAGTGGCAAAACAATACAGTAATGGAGAAGACAAACATCCAGACATCTGTTGGAATTCTCATTCAGCTAACAGCATCATCTGAGGTATTGTTGACTTGTGATCATTTAAAATCTTAGAAGGAGTGGGGAGAAAGTTGAAAAAGAAGGAAGTAAAAAAAAAAAAAGTAAGGGAACCACTTCTCCAGATTTAACTCTAACCAACAAGGAAGAAATTTCCGGTTAAAGAAAATGTGGGAAAACCTCAATGCGAAGTAGCTCTCAGGGTTCAGTCAACAGTGGGCAAATCAAACTAGCAGGCAAGACAGAGACCTTGAACCTTCATATTTATCCATAGTAAAACAGTTTCATCTTATCTTCCCATTGTCATACAAAACTGCGCTTCAGGGCTCTGCCCTTGTCCCTGTCCTATTCAACTTTTCAATCAATGATTAGAAGAAGACATAGAAGGCAGGCTGAGAGTGAAAGCAATTGCATTGGAAGGCAGAAGCTGGATTCAAATGGATTTTGGCAGACTGGAACGAGGAGTCAAAGTTAACTAGATAAAATGTAAGAGGGATAAATTCATGGTGTTGTGTTTCAATTTAGGCACTCAGTTTCTTAAGTACAGGATTTGGAAGACCCAGGGATTTCGATTGCCCTGGTGGTGCAGTGATTAAGCACTCGGCTGCTAACTGAAAGGTTCATGGTTTGAATCCATCCAGCGGCTCTGCAGGAGAAAAGACCTGGTGATCTGCTCCCATAAAGATTACAGAAAAACCCTATAGGGCAGTTCTACTCTGTCACATGGGGTCGCTATGAGTCAGAATCAACTTGCCAGCACACAACAGCAACAATATGCCCCACTGACAACAGTCAATGTGGCTGCCATAACGGGGCGTGGGGGGACACTAGCTAATGTACAAGAGAAATCATCGAGCTATCCTTTATGCTGCTCAGACCATTTCTGGAGTACTGTATTCACTTTTTTTGACAGTACAGTTTATGAAGCACTTTGACAAACAGGTGTGTGTCCATAAAAGGGATACCAGGATGGTAAAGGGCATGAAAACCATGTCATATGAGGAACAATTGAAGGAACAGATGATGCTTCGCCTGGAAAAGAGAAAATTTAGAAGTGACATAACAGCTACCTAAAATTATCTGAAGAACTGTCTTGTGAATGATGGATCAGGTTTTTTAGTGAGGAACAAAAGGCCAGGACTAGGACTAACTGGCAGCTGTGGTTTAATTCAAGGAGTGCTGAGCCTGAAGTCCAATAGGCTTGGGTTCAAATCTTGACTCCACCATTTTGTAGCTCTGTGACCTTGGACAACTCACTTAACTTGCGCTGCAGTTTCTTCAGCTATAAAACAGAATCAATATCACCTATTTCATAAGGCTAGATAAGAACTCGTGAGGGGACTAAATGAGATAATGTATGTGGGAGAGTTTTAAATGGCAAAGCATAACACACATGTAAATTATTATTGCCATTATTATTTACAACGGGGAAGATTTAGGCCTCTTATAAGGAAATACTGACAATTATTTACAGCTTCACAACAATTGAATGGGCTGTTTTGTTAGAAGTGAGCTGTCCATCACTGGAAAGGTTCAAGCCGAGATGGGTTGATCATTTACTGGGTTTCTGGTAGAAGACAAGAAGATTAGACTATATGACTTCTAAGGTCTCTTCCAATTCTAAGATGCTATGATTCTATTGTTGTGAAGAATTATACTTTAAGCTTTTCTTTACAAAGGATTATATATGCTTGAAAACAAAGGTGACAACCTTTAGCTCTTTGTCACCTCTTGGACTTGTACTCAACTCCCAGGAGATAACTGCTTGCTCCATATCAGGAAGGCGAAGCACAGTTGCTGGCTCTAAGACTTTTCAGAGCATGACAGACAAGTGCAAAAAAGAATTTTGGTGAGGCCTTAGAGTTTGTGACTTCATAACCTGAAGCAACAGTCAGGAACACAGCTACATGGGCCAAATGGCTTAGGTTGGAGCTGCACGAGGCAAGTGTTTTTTAAGAGTTTGACCTCAAATGTCCTCTCATCTCCCTCCTCACCGTCTGTCCCAGAATTGCCACAAAACAGGAAAAAGAAGCCTATCAAGAAGGTTAAGTCCGAAAAACTCCTCTTGTGCCAACCAGTGAACTCAGACACAGAAGTACAGACACAAAGGTAAAAGAAAATACTAGTCTGAGGCTATATAGATGCAGCCTTACGGTGGAAATCAGTTCCAGTCTTGAATCCAGCTTTAATTCTGCCTTCACTCCCAATTTTCCCCAGCCCACTGAGGGCAACTTTCAGCTCAACTCCTCTTGACTGGCAATCAATGAATTAGGTTTCTACTCTGCCTTATCTTGCTCCAATTCACCAGAAGGTGAAACTATAACACGTGTGAGCTAAATGATTGCTTTTTAACATCTTTCATTACGTGGCCCACTCACACACTTTTATATTTGCTGTAATTCTTGGTGAAAAGAGAGAAAGGGTAAAGGAGAGAGTGACAGAGGCAGGAGGCTTGTCACCACGTTCACTGATACAAATAGATACAGTAAAGGAAGTAGTAGTCTTTGAAAATAATATATTTTACCACGATAATGAAGTGGAAGAAGAGTCAAGGTGAGAGATGTTTGCACACATAGAATCAGCAATGACGGTGGGTTAGCTACCCAGGGACAAATTCTGAGCTGTGTTCCGACTTGAGAGAGTAGAGTGACATGGATTAACTAAAGAAAGGCTAAGGATTACAAAGACAAATGGGAGTGGTCCCAGCGACTGCCCAGCAAGGAAACACACAACTTGGTTTGTCACCCATCTGTAAGGTCTTTGCAATGCCCTGGGGAAGCTTACACTGTCTATGAAACACTATACTAAACAACCTAACATGTCTTACAAACACTTGCCTCGTGGCGCCCCGGCCAATCTTGAGCAGCTTACTGCTTCCTTACATTTCCTTATCTCTGGCCACAGGCCCCAACTACACCATGACTTACTGATGAAGTTAGCCTGGCCAGTGAATATGGTGTACTGAAGCTCATAGGAGCTGATGCTGAACTCATCATCCGAGATCCAGTGGACTGTAATGGTGTCATGGGAGGCTGTACAGAGTTCTTCTCGGATAGATGGTGGGTTTGGGGCTGTAAAGAAAGATGGAAAAGAAGGTAAGGAAAGCACAATCTCTGATCTGGAATTCTACAACAGTTACTCTTCCTGTCTAACCCAACATCTCTTGGAGAGGAGGTTTTCTTAATAGAGAAGCTTTAGATTGCATGTACCATAAAACCCGAAGCAGAATGCTTAGAACTCAAGCTTTCCAAAACCACTTTTGCATCAACAGTAAATATATTTTAAACAAAGATATAAAATCAAAAAACAAACTTGTTGCCATTGAGTTAATTCCGACTCACAGTGACCCTATAGGACCGAGTAGAACTGCCCCATAGAGTTTCCAAGGAGCCCTTGGTGGATTCAAACTGCCGACCTTTTGGTTAGCAGCTGTAGCTCTTAACCACTATGTCACCAGGGTTTCCATAAGCAAAGATATAAGCCTAAATTATTGAGATAATTGCCTCAATTTTTTACTCTACCTGTATAAACACATATGTAGCTATTAGAGCAAAGTGGTCATGGTTTTCTGATTACATTGTCCTCAATTTCCTTCTTTCTATTTCAAAATAAGTTTCATTATATATTTTTGGTAGTATAATCAAGGTATTTTTGGTAGTATAATCAAATCAGTGTGAGTTTCCTCTTAAGTAAAATGGGGATGATAATTACCTCATAGATTTGCTGTGGGGATTAATTATATAAAATTAATACAGAGGGTCTGGCACAAAGTGAGTGTTCAATAAATAATAGTTATTTTAATATATTAACAAAAATAGCCACAAACACAAAGGTATTATATGTGTACATTTTTCCTCATAAAATGGTCATTCGATAATCCTGAAGGTAGCCAGCATTTTTAACAGGCTGGTTGCATCCCTTATTTTCTAAAATTGTCTGCAAACCAGATATTTCTTACATTTTTCTTCCCAATCTGCTAATTCCTAAATTTCCTCCAAACCATTTAAGTGGTACCTGCACCCATTGGGACATCCCTCTAATATTCCTTAATTGCCACCTGAGGTCTACCCCCATCATAAGCAACAAAATGTTACTGATAGACTCATAAGGAGAAACCCATTAGCAATTTTTTGTGTTTTACCTTCAAGTATGGATGGTATGCCAATTCTGCATCCAGAAATATTTGACAAATCACCTTTTCTCTGTTATGTGAACTAAAATATACTGTATCTAAAAAGATCCATGTATAATTTTAAAGACTATAAAAATATTTTATTATAAATATCGACTTTTTCAGATTATTTTGAAGTAAAACCACACCAAAAGAAAACAATTTTAAATGGGAAGGAGAGCACAGTATTTTCACACCTGTTAAATAATCTAGCCCTTCCAGCAATTTCTTTTCTCTGGAAAAATCTAAAGCAAAGTTTTCAAAGGCATCATTAAAATTGATATCTGGAATCAGAACTTGAGAGGATGCAGTTGCCATAGCGACCCTGAAAAAGAGAAAAGTACATCAATATACATCAAAATACCTTTGCAACCTTCATCCAGTGTTTGAGTTCTGGTTTAACAAGGTGAAAACAAATGACTTGTAGGAGTTCATTCATTAAGTGAAAAATATATCTGTGCTTCTCCAACAGAAACCATTTAAATTTTAATCATTGGGAACCAATTAAGGGTTATACCATATTTATTCACATATGTTCCCCCCTCAAACAAACTCCCCCATCCTGTCTTAATTTTGAGAAGTAAATACAGGATTTTTTTCCCCTCTGTATCTTTTTCCATCTGGCAGGCAGCATCAAAACTGGACTTCTGAAAGCTTGGTAAGAGCAGTTTAAAATAATTTTTTTCTCCTCCTCTCTTTTTTTATGCTAATAAATAAGCCAGCATGCTGGATAAAAGTCTTCCCATAAATACTGTCTGTTATTTGATCTTTTATAACATTTATATTTCACTTTACTATTCTCTAATTGTATGCTATGCTAGCTTTACCTCTCAAACCAATTCTTTTCAAGAGCAGAGGTCATATTTTATACTTCCTATATCTTCCATGGTCCTTAAAATAGTGTTGACACATAGTCAATAAATAACTGCTGAATGAGTGACTGAATGAATAACAACAACACAATAAACCAAAAAAAAACCAAACCCATTGCCATCGAGTCAATTTCGACTCATAGCAACCCTATAGGACAGGGTAGAACTGCCCCATAGAGTTTCCAAGGAGTGCCTGGTGGATTCGAACTGCCAACTTTTCAGTTAACAGCTGTAGCTCTTAACCACTACGCCACCAGGAGTGCTTATAATATACAAGTCACTGTTCATGCACTCTACATATATTATCTAATTTACTCCTTACCATAACCATGTATAATAGATGTTATATCCATTTTGTAAATGAGAAACTTGAGACAGAGAAAGATTAAGTAATTTGCCTAAGGTCAGACAGCCAGTAAGGGTAGTAAATGTAACTGAACCCATGTCCATCTAATCCCAAACTCAGTACCACTTAACCCTTTAGGCTGTTCCTTTTTTAAAAAAAAATTGAGGTATATTTACATATTTTGGCAATTCTTAACCAGGTTACACGTCAGAATTATCTTGGGGAGCTTTTATCAAAATATACACATTTAGGCCTTATTCCAGACCTTCTGAATCAGAGTCAATGAAAACCCTCGAGCATGCAAATGACAGGATGGAAAGAAGCATTAACTTGGCAACAATATGCATGTTAGAGTGGACAAAAGAGACAGTGAATTGTAGGAAGACCAGTGGGGAAACTTTTATGGTGAACTAGTTGTAAGGAGATGAGGGATTGAAAAAATACATACCCTCATGCATGTATATCCTGTAGTATCTCTTGGCTGTTTTTGAAAATAGAGACATTTCAGGAATAAACTAGAGGCCAGGATGAACAAATGAAAGACTAACTCAGTATAACCTTATAGTCTTACACTGAATAACCAGTCTTCCAGGATTTTGTAAGAAGATAATCTCTTTAGGGAAAGAGTTATGTCAGAAAATTGGCTCATGAAATTTCTTCCTAGCCTTCTCCATCTCTTCCTTTCTTCCTTCCATCCATCCATCCATCCATCATCACTTACTGAACAGTCTAATGTTACAGGCACTGAGCTAGGCAATGGAGATACACAGGGAGAACAAGCTAGTTGTGGTCCTTGCTCTCACAGAACTCACAGATCATGGAGAGGAAAGCCATTAAATAGGCAATAGAAGTGCTGTTACGAAGAGAGGAGAGCATACACAAAAGTCACTTAGCATGGACTTGGGAGCTAAGGAAAGTTTCCCTGGAGGAAGTTAATTTTGAGCAATGACCTACAGGATGAATAAGAGTTAGCTAAGTAAAGACTATATGCGTGTGGGTGTGTTCTTTCTTGCCTGACAGATGAGAATTAGGCAAGGGGAAAGTCATGCAAAGCCTTGCTGGCCATGTTACAAACTTTGGACTTTGTCTTAAGAGCAATAGGGAGCCACTGAAGTATTTTAGGCAGAGGAGAGATATGCTCAAATTTATGTTTCAACAAGAGTACTCCAGCTGCAGTGGATGGACTGAAAGGTGTCAAAATTAGAGTCAGGCAAATCAGATTTTAATCTGTCCAGGCATAGGTAGAAAGTAAAGTGGTGACAGTGTGTACACAAATAAAACAGGAATGGTTGTTGTGTGCCATTGAGTCAATTCCGACTCATAGTGACCCTATAGGACAGAGTAGAACTGCCCCATAGGGTTTCCTAGGATGTAATCTTTATGGGAGCAGATCGCCAGCTCTTTTTTTCCACAGAGCCACTGGTGGGTTTGAACAGCCGAACTTTCAGTTGTCAGCCAAGTGCTTAACCATTGTGCCACCAAAAAAAAACCCCAAAACCAAACAACTAACTCAAAACAAAAAAAGAGTAGCTGCTGAGGCTGCTTGTGTACAACCAAACACCTCTTGGGATTTGGTTCCTTGGTTTGGAGATTTAAGGTCATAGTTTCATGGGACATCCAAATTAATTGGCCTAATAACGTGTTCAGTGCTTCTGTTCTACCACCTAGTTCATTGCATAGTGCCTGGGGTCTTAAAAGCTTGCAAGCAACCATCCAAGGCACAACAATTGGCCTCTACTCACCTGAAGCAACAGAAGAAGGAGAGTAAAGAATAAAAGGAGGAAATGAAATGTGTAGCTAATTGCCTCCATGAACAACTGCCTCCTTTGCCATGAGACCTGAAGAACTGAATGGTGCCTGGCTACCTTTACTGGATATTTTGATCAAAGATTCTATAGAAGAGTTCTGATCAAAAGGGGGAAAATGTAGAACAGAATTTCAAAGTCTCATAGACTCCAGACTTTCTGGAGCCATGGAGACTGGATGAACTCCTAAAACTATTGCCCCGAGATAATCTTTAAACCTTAAACCAAAAATATCCCCTGAAGTCTACTTAAGACCAAACAATAGTTTAGCTTAACTAGTAAAAAAAAGTCTACCTTGAACATTATGCTCTTTTAAGAACTATCTATATGGGACCAGATTGACAACAGCAACTCAAAAGATTAGATAGAAACCTTAGGGGGCAGTGAGTTTATGTTAGTGAGGGAGGAACAACTCAGAGAAGGAGGGTGAGAATGGTTGCACAACTCAAAGAATGTAATCAATGTCACTGAATTGTACACATAGAAGCTATTGAATTGGTGTATGTTTTGCTGTGTATATTCTCAACAACAACAAAATAAATAAAATTAAAAAAAGAAAACAATTGGCCAATAAACAAGTAAAAAAAAGTTCACTACATTAGAAATCAAAGAAATGTTTAGATGACAAATAATGACAGTATTATAGGTACTTTTAATGCCTATATTAAGTAATGCTGACATAATTTTATTAGGACTGTAAATTGATACAAATTTTGGAAGCCAATTTAACTTAAATATCAAAATATTTTATGGTGTAAATACCCTTCAACACCACAGTTCTACTTCCTAAAAGGTATACTAAGGAAATAATTGAGATGTATGCAAAGATATATCCACAAGGGCACTCAACACATTGTGTATAACCTAATTTTCTAACAATCGAGGATTGAGTTAAGTAATGTACGTCAAAAGATGAAATACTATGAGAGGCCATTAGAAACCAGGTTATACAATAATATCCAATGTTATGGGGAAAAGTTTATAACATATTCTTAAATTTCAAATGTAGGATAACCAGTTGCTGCCAAGTTGATTCTGTCTTGTGGCAACCACGTGTGTCAGAGTAGAACTGTGCTCCATAGGGTTTTCAATGGCTGATTTTTTGGAAGTAGATCACCAGGCCTTTCTTCCAGGCACCTCTGGGTGGACTCAAACTGCCAACATTTTGGTTAGCAGTTGAGTGCGTTAACCATTTGCACCACTCAGGGACTCAGATGTAGGATATAAGACAGTATATACAGCATGATCCTATATTAATATATAAGTACAAAGAAAAATCATGGGCTCCTATACTCCCAAGTGTTACTAGTGGCTGGCAGGGTATGAATGAATTAAAAATGATACTGTGGGGTATGTGTGCAGGTGTCTGTTTGTGTTTCTGTGTTTATGCAAAAAACACATTAGCTATCTTTTTCCAGGCCCTAATCGTCATTAGAGCAAATATGAGTGGTGTTTGTGAGGGGGAGGGGACACCTCTCCCAGCTAAAATTTCATTTTAACTGAAGTCTTGCTGCCTTAACACAATAGAATAAATAACAGTGGAGAGGAATTTCAGACACTATGAGAGACTAGTGAGAAAGAAATTTAGGCTGGGTAGATGTTTGTCAAATCATACTACGGAGATAGCCATCTATTCCACCTATACCATAGGCTATCTCTGAGCCTATGATAAGAAGATTTAATTACAGAATTTAAAATCACCAACATTTAGATGTTAATTGAAGTCCTAGGAGCTAATGAGTTTACAACAGGGAATGTGTGTAGTGAGGGGAGAGAATAGCGTAGGACAGAATAATGAAGAACAATAGCATTAAAGGAATAGTCAAGAAAGAGTTGCTCATAAAGGTAAAAGAAACCAGATAGGTAGAAAGAAAACCAGAAGTGTTCACAGAAGCTAAGGGCAGAGAAATTTCAAATAAAATTGGTCAGTAGTGACAAATGCTACTGAAAGATCAAGTAAGATGAAACAGTAAGATGAAACAAAGGAGTTTCTATTATATTTAGCAACAAAATATTCATTTGGTGACCTTGAAAAGAACACTTTCAATGGTGTGGTAGTGGTAGAAAACAGATTTCAGATAGTTAAAGAATGAGTGGGGACTATTAAATACAGTGGTTTTTTAATACATGTGTTATCTCTGCTCTCATGAAATCCCACTAAAACGACACTCAAAGAATAACACATTATAAACTCTCAAGGACAAAGAGAATGGAAAAAGAGATGTCAGTGAGTAAGAGATTGTCAACAAATGTTTGGAAGCTAGAAAAGGATGGATGTGTGGTAACCATCAACAGACCAGAGAAAGCTGGATCAAGAAGTCAGCAATATCAAACTGATGTAGTGCCACAAAAAGCTGAAAGTTTGCATAAGGAACAGTTAGACCCCCAAATCCACTCAACCAGAGACTACCCTTCTCTCATCCTGGCAGGAGATGTGAGATTTACTTTCTGAAGAGCTTTGATACTATACTGAAAGCAGTCCTAAGACTCTTAGTTCTCTGGTTTGCTCCCAGAATTATGGCAGCCAGGCTTATACCCCCCCACCCCACCCCCAAAGCAGGAGACCGGAGGATTCCTTCCGGGGGAAATCGGCCCAAGAGAAAAGACCTACAGAACTGACACTTAGGATCCCCTCAATAAAAAAGCTAACATTCATCTTATAATCCTATAGCAAAGTTCACCAAACAACAAACTCTGCCCCCAACCCTCAGAGCTTCCAGTCTCCTTTTAGTGCTTAACTTCAAATATGCAGCCAATAGTTTATCAGACAATTAGGGAAAGACAGACACTAAAACAATCTAACAGAGAAAAGGAACTTGGAGAAAATCAAGATAATGCAGGATTTAGAAGAAAACTTTTTAAAATGATAGTATTTTCAGAAAGATAAACAGTTTGCATCTTACATTCACAAAGCAAGAACAGAATGCTAAAAAGAAACGAATATCAAGAAAGAGCTCTTGTAAATAAATATATGAATGCTGAGATTAAAATATTAATGGAAAGATTACATAAAAAATTAAGGAAATCTCTTTGTTAGTAGAACAAGAAGACAAAGACATGGGAAATAGAAAACAAAAAATAAAAAAAATTAGAGGGAAAATCTAGGACATCCAACATCTGACTAATTAAAATCCCAGAAAAAGAGAAGAGAAAAAATAAAGGGGAGGAAATTATTAGCAAATAATATAAGAAAATTAACCAGAACGAAAGGTCAGTAGACTTCAGATTGATAAGACCCATTGAGTGCACAGAAAAAATGAATGACAAAAGACCCACACCAAAGCAAATCATGGTGAAATTTCAGAATAACTGGGTTAAACATAGGGTCTTAAAAGATTCCAGTTTTTAAAATATAGGTCATATTCAAAAGATCAGGAATCAAAATGACAGTGAACTTCTTAACACAACACTGGAAGTTAGACGGCAATGGAGCCATGCCTTCAAAATACAGTATAAGGGAAATTTATTTCCACCCTACCAATTGTGGAAATAAATTAAAAATATTTTTCAGGCAAAAAGTTCTCAAAAATTTACTTCCCATGTACCCTTTCTTAGGAAGCTACAGGAGAATTACAGGGAATATACAGAACAGTGCAGAAAGGCAAAATCCAGGTAGAACCTGATGGACTTCCTAATTAAGGAGTCAGAGCTGAGAGATCAGGCAGACTAAACTGGCTAGAGTACCAGAGACAAGAAAGATGCCCAGAGAGAGAATCCTGGAAATCTTTAGAAGGTCCCCTTCTACTATTCAACACAGTACTAATCAGTGCATGCATGTGAGGAAACTGCTCAATACTGAGGAAAGACTGACCCTCAAAAAAGCAAAGGGAATAATTCCTGGTGCTCACATGGGGTCAAGAATAGTACCTATTCCCACCAGCCAGACTGGAAAACCTCATTATGCATGAGGTACTGAGTAGAGTACTCAGAAGGATCTTGCCTCAGTAGTGGGGAAAAATTGCCTCTAGAGTAAACACTGTTCTGACCTCAACTATCTAATCTTAAAAGCATGACTCAAAAAGATCAAGCTATTTCCAAGTAACTTAGCTGTGTTCCAGACCAAAGCTTAAGAAAATTTATAGGAATACAAACATCTACAACACTCAGCAGGGTAAAATTCACAATGGCTGGCAGCCAATCAAAAATTACCAGGCATGTAAAGAAGCAAGAAAATACAACTTATAACAGGGAAAACAGTAACCAATCTTAACTCACCCAGAATTGACATACATAGTAGAATTATCAGGCAAGAACATTAAAACAGTTATTACAGCTATATTCAATATGTTAAAAAAGCTAGTGGAAAGACTGAATATGTTAATTAAGGATATGACAGATATAAAAAAATGAAACTGAACTTCTAGAGATGACAACTACAATGAGATGGAAAGTACATTGGAGATGTTAACAGCAGATTAGATATGACAGAAGAAAATGCTAGTGAACTTGAAGACATCAATAGAAACCATCCAAAATGAAACATACAGAGAAAAAAAAAAGAATAGCGCATCAGTGAGCTGTAGGACAACTTCAAGCATCTTAATATACATGTAATTGGAGTCCCTGAAGGAGAGAAGTGGGTTTAAAAGTGGATGTGAAATCAACTACACAGGAGAAGAAGAAACTGAAGCTATGGGGAAAGGAGCGTTTATGTGGCCAAAGCACAAATGGAAGGACATCTCTTCCATTATAACCAAAAGGAAAGAGGAAGTGATGGATGTGGATATAGGTTGTCCAGTAGTTGGTATGAGAAGTCAAGGGATTTATCATTTCATAGCTACCGTTTTTTTTTGTAAAATAAGAGGTAAGATTGTTTGCTGAGCATAAGAGGGAAAGTGGCGAAGTTGCAATTCTGAAGTGAAGATAGAAGATTTGAAATAGCCATTATGGAGATGAGTAAAAAGAAAGCTGACCAAAGCAACAAAGAAGGATTTCAAATCAGTACCAAGGGCGCAGGTGAGATGAGAAGCCAAAAATTTGTGATTCAGTAGTACCAATCTCTTTGGTTATGTGATTTTCTCCAGCAGGGTTCTGCAACTCAAACATAGGCATGAGAAAGGTAAGGATACAAAAAGAAAAAGAAAAAAAACAAAACAAAAACAAATCCATTGCTGTTGAGTCGATTTCAACTCAAAGCTACACAGTAGGACAGAGTAGAACTGCCCCATAAGGTTTACAAGACTGTAAATCTTTACTGAAGCAGACTGCCACATCTTTCTCCTGCAAAGTGACTGGTGGGTTCAAACTGACAACCTTTTGGTTAGCAGTCGAGTGCTGTAACCACTGCGCCATCAGGGCTCCTGTTGGACTGATTCAGGGATGGGATTTTATCAGTTGGTGTGATGAAATGACAATGGGGCAAAGGAGTTGGGGATATTGCAAAGAGAGTGGCTGAAGTGAGAAATCATGGACCCTAAATAGGCTAAGAAGAGAACCAAAGAGAGGAGGAAGCTGGAAGGTAGGAAGAAAGTAGCGGACTCAGGACTTAGAAGTCTCGATGAAGTTGAAGAGTAGACATATTGAAGAAAAAAAGAGACTTGTATTGAAGAAAAGAGAGTTGTAAGATAGAGGCTAGAATTAGAAAGTGGGGTGTTTCACCTATGATTTCAGTAACTCTGAGTGATGGTGAGGTTCAGCATGTGGACCATGGAAGTGGGTGGATGGAGTGGAGTGGAGGTTAGGGTCACTGGAGGAGGGAATGACAAGGACGAGGACACTAGGTGGCTAGAGTATTTGATGGATCAGCTGTTGAATGACAAATGAAGATTGTGAACCTGGAACCAAAGTCTTCAATGAATGAAAGGCAAAGATAAAGAGATTCAGTCTGGTCTATTCAGCCATAGCAGCCCCTTGAAGCCTTGGTGCCTATACTGAACAATGTTTCACTTTAGATCACGAATTCTTTGCAAATGGTTTGTATATGGGCTTCTAAGGATCTATGAGTCCCCTGAAATTGGATGAAATTCTATGTGTATATGCCTAATGTGCATTTTTTTTCCGCAGAAGAGGATGCATGACTTTCATTAAATTTTCCAAGACCATGATTAAAAAAAAAAAAACCCAAGAATTACTATTCTAAAGGATTTATGAAGAATAACTAAATGGAAATAATAGAAACTGCAAACAGATTTAGGAAGCACACACACTTATCAATGTGACACAGAATTTCTCTGCACCTATACCAACCCCAGCATAGAAAGCTCAAGCCCTGAATGAGCAGCAGTGAGCTATGGCAGTAGCTGGAGCATATGCTTGGCTGTGCATTAGAAGAACTGGTAGACTAAAGAGGTGGAGATAAGGGCTCCAGAAATCCACAGGGCAATCTACCACTGGGGCTTAATAACTATCTGGTTGGTAAAATCATCAGGTGGCAGCTGCTATATACATGCCTGGACAGAATTAAGTGACTTTAAGCTGGCCCATTTTGATAAAAGCAGGCATCTCAAAAGAATATAAGGAACTCGCCTCTCAGCAATATTTTTTGCAGACTGTAGAAACCGTGCCTGGTCGTTTTCTTTCAGGATATGTTCAGCTTGGTTGATGAGGACTGTTGACCTCTCAAGACACTGGCGGCAGTTAGCAACCTGCTGTGCTAACTTTCTCAGTTTCATAACCTTAAAGGAATTAGTAAAAGAAAAAATAAGATAAAACGTACAGTGCTTAATTAAAAACAATTAAAAAAACGTGAAGGAGATCCACTGCAGTGATTGTAAAATTAAGGCTTATTAATATCCCGTGGGCCCTGTATGAACCAGTCACCTTCTCACCCTAACCCCTATGTCTCTTTTGCCAACCTCTCCTCCCACGTACTGCCCGCTCACTTAGGATGCTACACACTCAGTCATATATTCTCAGTTCTGTATCTCCTCTTTTTACTAACAACATTACTTTTTCTGATTATAAGAGCAATGCATGTTCATTATAGAAAACTTAGAAAATAAAAAGTATAGAAAGAATCCCTACCAGCCTGGGGTCACCATTATTTACATTTTAATGTCAATATATTTTCACATTTGTATTTAATAAAAAGTACTCACTTTTTCTTTACAAGTATCTACATTTCTATGTATCTATATCTCTAAGAACACAAATCTGTGTTCTTGGAAATCTCAATTCCTGTGCTAGTTGGAACCACCCAGCATGGCATAAAATAATGGTTATCACAGGGTTGGTAATGCAAACTCCAGTTTCTCATAACTTCTCACACTGTACACACAGCATGAGCTTATAATCACTAACACTGACCCGAAGGCCAAAAGCCTAAAACTATATAGATGCATGGAGGCTCAAACCCGACCTTTTGCCCATGGTTCTTCAGTTCCCAGGCTAGAAACCTGGAAGACTACATTTACTGTTCTCTCTCTCCTTCATCTTTTGTATCTAATCAGTTGATGATTCCTAACTGTTCCTTTCTAGCAATGCCTGCTATGTTCTCCCCTTCCGTTTGTGCTTCCACTATCCTGGTTTAGGTCTTCTTCAACTCATTTCCAGGATCATTCCATAAGCCTCATAACTTGTTTCCCTGACTTTGGTATCATTCCATTCTGATCTACCCTGAACACCTCTGCCATATCTGTCTTCTCCTTTCCCTAAGAAACTATAGTGGCTTCCCAACATCTTTCAGATTAAGCCTAACGTCCTTATACTGTCATTTGTGGCCCTTCCATAATCCTGGTCCACATGTCTACCATTACTTTTTTTATTGACGTATACATACAGTAAAGCAACCAAATCTTAAATGTACAACTCAATGAATTTTTGAACATATAATGTAACATGTAACCACCAACCAGGCGAAGATACAGAACATTTCCAATACCCTAGAACTGCCATCATTTTTAATGGATTCATAGCACTAGGCCAGACGTCGTTTCTTTGCCTTACTTCCTACAACCTCATCTCTTCTTGCTTTCATGATACAAAGTTCAAACTGGAACCATCAGGATCAAACTTTGACATTTGAAAAGTCAACTCTTCCTTGGCCTCACTGAAGCGCTGTGCTTTACCTTTGTCTCTTTGATTTTGACAGCAATCATTTGCTTCCTCTGCTGGATGATCTCTACCAACTCGTCGCATTCTTCCATAAGTTTTGCCTCATGCATAGCAGTGTTTACCTGCCAAGAAAGTCCAGAATATTACACAGTGACTGCTGCCTTTGTCCCCGGCTGGCTCTAAAACGTTCGACTGACAGCTAAGCATGCACAACTTCTTCCATACCTCCCTCATAAGATCCACTCCTAGAAGAAGGGTAGAGATGATGATATTAATGATGCAAGGGCATTGAAGCACCACAGATAGGAAGCTCTCCGGGCCTCTGGTAGATCATGATGTTTAATGGAAGGCTGGGCAGAAGGACAGATGAGATGGGGGCATGTTATTCCCACTGTGCAATTCCCATTACTCTAGCAGCCTGTCCCCCTGCTGTTCTTTTTTGGAAAAAGCGTAAGGAGATTTATGTTTGTCAAGGAAAGAGGGTCCCCCTCCACAAGCACAATAATATTAGAATAACATTACAACAACGTATCTCTATCATCCTAACAAAAATATTTTCAGTTTCTTTGTTCGCTTCTAATCGTTAAATATACAAATGTGTGGATATATTTTTACAAAGTTGTAGAGTGGCTATTGCTCAACTTTGGCTGTCCAACATCTGGGTACCTTTCCTATTTTGAGATACTTCCTATATCAAAATATCTCTACTGCAAAGTCAGGGTGGGATGCAAGGGGAAAAAAAAGCCACCATTCCTCAGTGTCTTTCCATTTATTGATTTCTCCTTCTTCTCATCTCTATTGCTATTGATTTTAGATGGTACTAAGCACCCTCTCCCCCCAAAAAACACACCCGTTGCCATCAAGTTGATTCCAACTCATAGCGACCCAATAGGACAGAGCAGAACTGCCCTATAGGGTTTACCCCCCTACTTGTCTGTCAGTTTGTTGTACTGTGGGGGCTTGCATGTTGCTGTGATGCTAGAAGCTATGTCACCAGTATTCAGATACCAGCAGGGTCACCCATGGCCGACAGGTTTCAGCTGAGCTTCCAGACTAAGACAGATTAGGAAGAAGGACCTGGCAGTCTGCTTCTGAAAAGAATTAGCCAGTGAAAACCTTATGAATAGTAGTGGAATATTGTCTGATATAGTGCCAGAAGATGAGCCCCCCCCCCAGGTTGGAAGGCACTCAAAAGACAACTGGGGAAGAGGTGCCTCCTCAAAGTAGGGTCGACCTTAATGAAGTGGATGGAGTCAAGCTTTCAGGACCTTCATTTGCTGATGTGGCACAACTCAAAATGAGAAGAAATAGCCACAAACATCCATAAATAATCAGAACATGGAATGTACAAAGTTATGAATCTAGGAAAATTGGAAATTGTCAAAAATGAAACGGAACACATAAACATTGATATCCTAGGCATTAGTGAGCTGAAATGGACCGGTATTGGCCATTTTGAATTGGACAACCATATGGTCTACTATGCTGGGAATGACAACTTGAAAAGGAATGGTGTTGCATTCGCCATCAAAAAGAACATTCCAAGATCTATCCTGAAGTACAATGCTGTCAGTGATAGGATAATATCCATATGCCTATAAGAAAGACCAGTTAATGCGACTATTATTCAAATTTCTGCACCAACCACTAATGCCAAAGATGAAGAAATTGAAGATTTTCACCAACTTCTTCAGTCTGAAATTGATCGAACATGCAAGCAGAATGCATTGATAATTACTGGTGATTAGAATGCGAAAGTTGGAAACAAAGAAGGATTGGTAGTTGGAAAATATGGCCTTGGTGACAGAAATGATGCTGGAGATCGCATGATAGAATTTGGCAAGACCAATGACTTCTTCATTGCAAATACCTTTTTCACCAGCATAAACGGTGACTATATAGATGGACCTTGCCAGATGGAATCAAATCAACTACATCTGTGGAAAGAGACGATGGAAAAGCTCAATATCATCAGTCAGAACAAGGCCAGGGGCTGACTGCGGAACAGATGATCAATTGCTCATATGCAAGTTCAAGTTGAAACTGAAGAAAATTAAAACAAGTCCACGAGAGCCAAAGCACAACCTTGAGTATATCCCACCTGAATTTAGAGACCATCTCAAGAATAGATTTGACACGTTGAACACTAATGACTGAAGACAAGACGAGTTGTGGAATGACATCAAGGACATCATACGTGAAGAAAGCAAGAGGTCATTAAAAAGACAGGAGAAAAAAAAAGACCAAAATGGATGTCACAAGAGACTCTGCAACTTGCTATTGAACATAGCGTAGCTAAAGCAGATGGAAGAAACAATGGATTAAAGAGCTGACCAGAAGATTTCAAAGGGCAGCTCGAGAAGACAAAGTAAAGTATTATAATGACATGTGCAAAGACCTGGAGATAGAAAACCAAAAGGAAAGAATACGCTCAGCATTCCTCAAGCTGAAAGAACTGAAGAAAAAATTTAAGACTCGAGTTGCAATAGTGAAGGATTCCATGGGGAAAATATTAAACGACGCAGTAAGCATCAGAAGAAGATGGAAGGAATACACAGAGTCATTATACTAAAAAGAATTGGTTGACATTCAACCATTTCAAGAAGAAGCATATGATCAGGAACCGGTGGTACTGAAGGAAGAAGTTCAAGCTGCACTGAAGGCACTGGTGAAAAACAAGGCTCCAGGAATTGACAGAATATCAGTTGAGACGTTTTCAGCAAAGGGATGCAGCGCTGGAAGTGCTCACTCGTCTATGTCAAGAAATTTGGAAGACAGCTACCTGGAAAACCTACTGGAAGAGATCCATATTTGTGCCTATTCCCAAGAAAGGTGATCCAACTGAATGTGGAAATTATCGAATGATATCATTAATATCACACTCAAGTAAAATTTTGCTGAAGATCATTCAAAAGCGGCTGCAGCAGTATGTTGACAGGGAAGTGCCAGAAATTCAGGCCGGATTCGGAAGAGGATGGGGAACCAGCGATATCATTGCTGATGTCAGATGGATCCTGGCTGAAAGTAGAGAATACCAGAAAGATGTTTACCTGTGTTTTATTGACTATGTAAAGGAATTCGATTGTGTGGATCATAACAAATTATGGATAACATTGTGAAGAATGGGAATTCCAGGACACTTAATTGTGCTCATGAGGAACCTGTACACAGATCAAGAGGTGGTTGTTCGGACAGAACAAGGGGATACTGCCTGGTTTAAAGTCAGGAAAGGTGTGTGTCATGGTTGCATCCTTTCACCATACCTATTCAATCTGTATGCTGAGCAAATAATCCAAGAAGCTGGACTATATGAAGAAGAAAGGGGCATCAGGATTGGCGGAAGACTCATTAACAACCTGCAATATGCAGATGACACAACCTTGCTTGCTGAAAGTGAAGAGGACTTGAAGCACTTACTGATGAAGATCAAAGACCACAGCCTTCAGTATGGATTACACCTCAACATAAAGAAAACAAACATCCTCACAACTGGACCAATAAGCATCACCACGATAAATAGAGAAAAGATTGAAGTTGTCAAGGATTTCATTTTACTTGGATCCACAATCAACACCCATGGAAGCAGTAGTCAGGAAATCAAAAGACACATTGCATTGGGCAAATCTGTTGCAAAAGACTTCTTTAAAATGTTGAAAAGCAAAGATGTCACCTTGAAAACTAAAGTGCGCCTGACCCAAGCCATGGTATTTTCAATAGCATCATATGCATGTGAAAGCTGGACAATGAATAAGGAAGACTGAAGAAGAATTGATGCCTTTGAATTGTGGTGTTGGCAAAGAATACTGAGTATACCATGGACTGCCAAAAGAACGAACAAATCTGTCTTGGAAGAAGTACAACCAGAATGCTCCTCAGAAGGAAGGATGGGGAGACTACGTCTTATATACTTTGGACATGTTGTCAGGAGGGATCAGTCCCTGGAGAAGGACATCATACTTCGTAAAGTACAGAGTCAGCGAAAAAAGAGGAAGACCCTCAACGAGATGGATTGACACTGTGGCTGCAACTATGGGCTCAAGCATAGCAAAGGTTGCGAGCATGGCGCAGGACCGGGCAGTGTTTCATTCTGTGGTGCATAGGGTCCCTATGAGTTGGAACCGACTTGATGGCACCTATCAACGACAACACAGGGTTTCCAAGGAGCGACTGGTGGATTTTCACTGCCAACCTTTTGGTTAGCAGCCTGAGCTCTTAACCACTGCGCCACTAGGGCTCCACAAAGCACCCAGGAGGGACTAAAATGAAAGCAAGGAATCTTTGGGCTGCTGAAACATAAAGGGAAAATGAGGGGAAAGGAACTAACATCTTTTAAGTACTTCACATAATTTCATCTAATTATCTTAACAACTTTATGACATAGGAAACATTATTATACCCATTTCAAAGATGACAAAACTGAAGCTCAGAGAATTTTAGTGGCTTGCTCAAGATCACACAGCTAATAAGTAGTAAAACCAGAATTCAAACCAAGTTCTGTCAAGTGAAACCCCTGGGCTGGCTGGGTGGGTGGACAAGGTCAGTTCCATTTCAGCAGCACACAGAGTAGTTACACAGGGAAGCACAATCATTCCAAGAGTCTATTCAAAAATCACTGGAGCTCTGGTCTAGGAGGTTGAGGAACTGACAATGGGTTATTTGAGAGCAGCGAAACTCAAGGAGCTAGATATGCTTCATCTGCAAGGTGGGGCTGCATTTCCAACTGCTATGCCTCCTCAGGGAGCCCTGGTGACGCAGTGGTTAAGAGATTGGCTACTAACCCTAAAGGTCAGAAGTTTGAATCCACCAGCCGCTCCTTGGAAACCCTACGGGGCAGTTCTACTCTGTCCTCTAGAGTCGCTATGAGTTGGAATCGACTCAAAGGCAATGGGTTTGGTTTTGTTTTTTTTATCCCTCCTCAGAGAAGGCGCCTTGGTGGCACAGTGGTTAAGTGCTCGACTGTTAACAAAAAGGGCGGCGGTTCAAACCCACCAGCCATTCCTGGGAAAAAGATGTGGCACTCTGCTTCTGCAAAGATTACAGCCTTGGAAACCCTATGGGGGCAGTTCTACTCAGTCCTATAGGGTTGCTACGTGTCGAAATAGACTCAACGGCAATGGGATCC